ACAAAACCACTAACCATGATACATACTTGTCGGTTTATAAAACAACATTGAACTTAAACTTCAACTTGTTATATACCAGTTATTTCATGTACTTTTAAAGTTGAGCGACCGGCCACACGGTGAAGGTTACCTATAAAAAATATACGCCGTCATTGATATGTATTACATAGGCTCCATACATCTTACAAAGATTATGTACGCTCAATGACTCCTACGAAACGGATCAAATGAAAAAAAAACTGAATGAATCATGTCTACACAAATCATGCTGACTCTGTTTATTTTTTATCCGACTGCCTAAAGGGTTATTGTACTTACGTCTATGTGAGATGATTCTTTCACTATTTACATTGTAGTTTTTGTTGCATTACATTGTATTTTTTCGTGTACACAATGACATTCAAATTAAACCTTTTAATCCCAAGGGGCTGGTCTGGAAATCATTTTTGTGAGTCCCGAGAGTTGACTAGAAGACACCGAAAAATCCTAAATAATAAATTTCCCCAATTGTAAATAAGCGTAAGACCCATTACTCGACAGTTGGGATCAGTGAGAATTTGTAAATAACAATACTATTTGAGTAGATACAGTAAAGTTGGCTTTGCATTTAAAAATAAACTTTGGGTTGATACAAACTGTATTTTAGATACGAAATAAATACATTTTTTTTATGGGACAAGCCCGCCAAATCCCAAAACCCCGAAATAAATACATTGTTAACTTTCTAATCTCGACCATCGGTCGGGTATTTCCGAGTTCTTTCAAAAAGTGTCTAAAAATTCACCTCAAATACAAGGAAAACGAAATCTTACGTGATAAGGTAAGCTTTCATTTGCGTCACGAGTTTATGCTACTTACGTCGACATTCGTGTGACCTACAAAAGTAATAAACAAAACAACCAAGTGTGAATCGTTCACGACAGGTTCCATACAAATATGATGGGAAAAAACATCACGTTTATTGAATGAAAATACCTTATTATTTACGTTGCCTTATTATCACAGTTTATAAGGCACAATCTGTATAAAAACAAAACTGTACGGTTGGCGCGGTAGCTGGGCAACTGGCTGCCGTGCAACGTGTCGCGGGTTCGATTCCCGCACGGAACAACTCTTTATGTGATCCACAGATTATTGTTCCGGGTCCGGGTGTCATGTGTATGTGAACTTGTATGTTTGTAAACGCACTCACGACACAGGAGAAAATCCTAGTGTGGGGCAACGTTTCATATAAAAAAACCGACTACAAAAGGTCAAAGAGATTTTTTTTGAGGGAATTAAAATAATAAATATCTCCTTCCGCCCTAGTGACAAACTTACGTAGGGAAGGGGGGGGATAACTAGGCCACCGATAACCTCGCTTACACGACGTACACAACACAAGCGTTGTTTCACGTCGGTCTTCTGTGAGGTCATGGTACATACCACTTCAGTCGAGCCGGCCCATTCGTGCCGAAGCATGGTTCTCCTACACTTAATATACTTAGATTTGTCTTTTAAATGGAATCCTTAAAAACTGCATACAAACTTTCATCTCTTTCTACGTTGATTTCTTTTTAGACATCTGTCTCTTTCCTGCTATTACCGACATAATTTACTAAGACCACCTTATGTTTGTGTATTTGTTTACAAAACCACGTAACTATTACATAGAGGTACTACGTTCCACATGTAAGACGTAATAATATTACTTATATTTATGATTAATTCTAATGTATTTTCGGTTTACATCTTAGTAATAATAACGTCATTCAATTCCATCTAACTTATTTTTACACTTTTGATAATTTTATTTTTGCACTATGAAATCGAATAATAAAAAATACTTAATAAAAAATAAGATTCTTGTCGAATTCGGTAACATTATTATCGGCCTGTCAAAGGCGTTTCCATCTATCTCTGTTTCTGGCATGTTTTTGCCATGCCGTTCCAGCTACGTACCTTCTTAAGATTATCTGTATTTATGTGCCAATCACGATTCCCACGACTGTGTCTCTAACACAGTTTTAAATGTCTCATACATAAAAAATATACTATACGACAGTAACAACTAATGTTCTGGTTTTTCCACTACAGCCGCAAATTCAAAACAGCAACGATTTTTTTTTAAATACGGAACGCCCATTGGCCCATTTGTGACATTTACGCGAAGTGTTATTAATAAATCAAAATTATTTTTTATTAAAAAAAAATATTATTTGAAATTCGAAGGCCATGCAAGATGGTTACTTGATTTACTTGTTTCTAGTTTAAAACGTGTTTTTTATTGTTTTAATATTATATCGATTGAGGGGTACGTACTATAATAATAAGAATAAGTGAAACGAAATGAAATGAAACGATAGATGGCGTTGTGTGTCTCTTCCTAGATTATTTCATACGTTTAGTCACAACGTAGACAATACACATATCTCGGTGGCTTATCTACACTTTAGCTACAAATACAGTCTACAGAAACAATGTAAGCTAATTAAAATGAAGTTAATGCATAGCAATTTAAAGGATACCATCCAGTTAGAAGTAACAGGTTATAAAATTCAAACGCTCGGTATTTGTGGATATGTCAGTCATGTATATCGCATACCTATATACATATTTGTCTCGTCACGAGCTTACGTATGACGGATGACCATACAAAATATACCTCGCCAATATCTTTATAATCATAGCTCGTTCTCTTCGACTGCTAAACATAAGCCTCCTCATTATTTACGGCATAGTGCGGAAAACAAGCTGCTTTTCTTTACCTTCACTTGACAGTAAGCAATCGGCGATCGAAGGTAGTTAGAGCCTCCAATACCTTTAATCACAATGCAATCGTTATTTCAGCCGATTTTGAAAAGAAAAGAATGGCTGTCCCACGTGATTTCAATATATCTGCGAGAATTTTCAAAATACGCGCTATGTAATTTAATTGTACAACAAAAGAATAGGCCTATGTTCAGAAGCGCGCGGTTTGATAACACGCTTTCATCCAATAACTTCCTCCGCCTTGGGTGAGGCAAGGCTCTTACTGACTAAAAACCACCCCGTTCGCACTCCTGCTTTGAACCGAAGCCCCGGTAAACCATTAGGTTGTCCGCAGCTCCGGATCGGACATCAGCCCTGCTGGGTCCCATTTATGGTCTGATGTCTTGCAATAAGTCTAATCGCATCGCATATTTAATAATATGTATGTAGTATCAAAATGCGTACTTAACGCTTGCCATGTAAACATGACCTTAACAGCAATAACTATGTATGTGGTTAGAATCATAGTTGCAATCAATATTATAGATGATAGATAGATGCTGGACCGATAAATGAGGTATTAAATAACGTAATGCTTTTATGATTATCTGCGGAAAACTGTAATAAAAATAATAATTGTTTACATATTTTATTATAAACAACACTTATTTATATACTACTGCTACAGCTGTTCCCCGCGAGTTCGTCCGCGTATAATAATGACTTCTGGCAAATTTTGGAATATTTTTATTAGTCTTCTCCAAGGTTAATTGCAATGCTGTGTAACAAATATCAGCAGAATGAATTTAGTTATATTTATTCTGAAATGTTGTTTATTTCCCGATTCCCATTGTAGATTTTACCCGTATAGATCGGGCAGTTCTTGTATATCTTTTGTAAACCTGCAGTCAATACTTTAAAAGAGCGCGAACAAAACCGTGGGCAGAAGTTAGTCCATGAATAAAATGTATTCAGTTAATTGAATTCGTATTTTTCTTTAAAATCTCTGATTCTGATACAGCTAAACAATAGATATTATTAGACCTAGCTAACAGTTTTCTATTGGCAGTCAAAAGCTGCTTAAATATAAGGAGTTTTTTGGTAGTATTTTCATATCGAGTTATCGATAATGTAGGATTCCAGCGGTAAAAGATTTTTTCAAATCAGCCTGGTAGTTTCGGAGGAGACTCCATTCAAACAAACCTTTTCTCTTAATACTATTAGTGTCGATATCATCCATGCAACACTGATTCACTTCAGTTAGGTGAACCATGTTTCATTTCTATGTCCCAAGATTGGACAATGTTATGAATTATTTGAATAAATTTTTATCATCTGTAGTTAATTTATAATATAACATATGTATTTATATCGATACTAGCTGTTCCTCGCGACTTCGTCCGTGTATATCTAACAATGACTCTGGCAGAAGTTACATTTTTATATTAATCTTTATCGTAAATATAGCCAATGTACATCACAGATAATATACGATTCCAACGGTAAATACTTTTTCAAATCGGTCCGCTAGTTTCTTAGCCTATTCAATTCAAACAAACAAACACACAAAAACTTTATACTATTAGTGCAGATATCGATATATACCACCAAATACTACCAGTACATAACTAGAAAAACAGATAATATCTCCATCAAATCACTCACTATTTAGGTCAGTTTGAACCAAAGTATAAGGTTTAAAATAAAACCCATACTTAGTAACTCTCACGTAAACAAACTAATAAGGTAAACATCTAATCATACATGTGGGTTTTCCCAAAGGGCCAGCATGTTTGCAATACTAGTTTTCCTTAACTTATAATGCATTTTCAAAATTGTTCTTCTACAAGATACTTAAGCGCCTTTTCACACGTTCCGGTTACCGGGTAGCCTGCGCCGGGTAGTCTGCGTCGGGTCGTCAGCGTCGGATAGCCGGCGTCAGGTACCTGGCGGGCAGCGTAGTGTATGTCCATGTACTGTAACTTTCACACATACCAGCGTAATTTGTATACATACACTTTTTTAAGGGGGATAATTATCGAATGACTGCTCCTGCCTGGGTGAGGCTGTATACATAGACTAAGAATCCGAGTAACCGCAACGTGTGAAAAGGCACTTATTGTACAATTACACACAAACACTTAAAGCATTTGTTACGATTTTCCCGGTAAATAGTCGAGTTATGAGTACCTAACAATTTGTAAGGTAATACTATAAGTAATTGTATATAACAGTTAACATAAAGCGCAGTATGTGATGCCCCCATTGACCTCATATGTGTATATAAGAGGGTCCTTTTTACTGCCACTTACATAGTTCTACTAGTACTGACACCATGAACACTGTAAGTACATTACTGGTACCATATTCCATATTAGATTTATTTGTGACTGCAATTTTAACCTAGTACATTAAGTCCCAGATCCATCCGCATCTAGGAAAGATTGACGCCCGAGTCAAAAACAATTAGAGGAGCATTTAATTTCATAACTTAGTGTTCGGAACTGGCAATTAGTTAACCCTCTTTAAGTGAAATAATGTAGGAATAGTACAAACACTGGTCTTATTATTCCCTTGAAAATATAAAGAGTTGTTAAACACAAGGGACAAGAACTGCAACAGATCTCTCAATAGCAAATTCTGTTTGTGCCATTAAAGACTAATTCATATCATTGTTAAGACCTGAGACAGTTTGTCCATGATAGGAAGCATCATAATTAATATTTTTGACGTATTATTCCATTGTTGGTCATAAACTCGATAACATCATCAGACTGAAACATTAAACTACTGCCGTCACTACCAAAAAACTAACAAAATAAGATTTAATTTATTGACAGTTTTAAATAATACATAACATTTAAAAATTATTCGCATTTAACAGCGATATAAAAAATAAGCCTTCTGCTTTGAAATGCAAAACATTAAATCTTGATTTTTATGTAAATCATTTTGATAACACTGAAAATCTCAGTACCTAAGTCTAGTAGAGAATGGTGCAAAAAATTGTTTAACAACTTTGTTGTTCTAAGCATACATTTGCTAATAAAATGCATTACTATAAAAACCTATTGCAATGTCTTCCCTATTGGCCAGTTTTACCACTTAGATTAATGATACATTTACCAACACTTTAGTTGTACTTAGGTAGGTAATAATCACCATCATATCAGCTACATAATACCTACTGCTCTATATAGGTCTCCCCCAGTGATCCTTTCTTCATTTGACTGCACGGTTGGTACGGTAGCTGGGCAACCGGCTCCGGTGCAACGTGTCGTGGGTTCGATTCCCGCACGGAACGACACTTTGTGTGATCCACAAATTGTTGTTTCGGGTCAAAGTGTCATGTGTATGTGAACTTGTATGTTTGTAAACGCACCCACGACACGAGAAAATCCTCGTGTGGGAATGGAGGACTGGTCTCCAACGTTTTGTTAAAAAATACAAAAATACAAAAAATATGTTAGCAATTTGGATAACTCAAGTTCGTGCCGAAACTTGGAAATTGCTCAAGGCAGATTAGAGATTTCGAACTTATAATTATCAATACATAGTATAAAACAAAGTCGCTTTCGCTGTATGTCCGTATGTATGCTTAGATCTTTAAAACTACGCAACGGATTTTGATGCGGTTTTTTTAAATAGATAGAGTGATTCTTAAGGAAGGTTTGTATGTATATACATATTGCACCCGTGCGAAGCCGGGGTGGGTCGCTAGTTAATTATAAATCGAGATATCCCTCGTCGTATTATATGAGTGGTATCTAATTAATCTAAGAATGTTCATACAACTCAGACTTACCTACTTTGTTTCATTAGTTATTTATTTAAGTAAGTGACAAATATTTAGTAAAAAAGTAAGTATAACAGATCCACTTATAAATATCTTAATAATGTCCCACGCTATACTTACCACGTGGTTGTCCTTGATATTTTTTCCATTTTTAACTGAACTGGAGCGTATCCATACCTGCACCAAAAGTCAAATTTTTTAAAATAGTGGTACACATGCAATTGCCAGAAATAAATACAACCAACAATCAGTTAAACGAACTAAGTATAATTTTCTAAACCACAAAAAAATTTTTTTTAATAAGTCACTCATTTTTTATTGCATAAAACTATAAACTAGGAAACGGGTCATCTGATGGTAAAAATCGGCGCCGCACATGGCTACCTGAAACACCAAGGCGTTATAAGTGCGTTACCGACGTAAAAATTTAGAACACTACCCTATTGGGTAGTTTCCAAAATTTTATTTTAATGTCCGTCTGGTACATTAATTTAAAACATTAGACACGTATTTTTTTCTTTTCTCACAAAATTAAGTACACACGACAACGCTAGCAGCGCAGCGCTACCATCGACACTACTATCACTTACACGGTGTACATACTTTCGACGATATATTAGTTTGAAATATCGTGTGACGTCACAGCGTGCTACATTTTGTAGCACGTTATGACGTAACAACCTCCCACTCCTAAACTTAGCGCCATGTTATCTAAGTATTGAAATTTAATTGACTGCCTCGTTGGCCGGATGGTCGCAAGTGCGACTGCCGGGCGAGGGGTCTCGGGTTCGATTCCCGGGTCGGGCAAAGTATTTTAAAAAATTCTCAGTAGTAGCACGGAGTCTGGAATTGTGCCCGGTATATGGCAATAGGCTCACCCCCTATTACATGGGACTCGTAACATAAATAGTGAAAAGTGGGTGTTACATTATACAGTGGCATAATGTGCACCTCTGCCTACCCCTTCGGGGATAACAGGCGTGATGTTATGTATGTTATGTATGAAATTTAATACGAGAAAATAAAAAATATGTGTCTAATATTTTTTCATAATCTAACTGACGGAGTAATTAGATTTTTAATTTTGATACTCTGGAAACTACCCAATTTGAGTATTATGGAGGATTCGGGGATTGGGAATCTGGTAACCTCACTCACACGACGAAACACAACGCAAGCGTTGTTTCACGTTGCTTTCCTGTTTGTCGTATCACCCTGGTCGAGCCAGCTCAGCAGTGTCGAAACATGGCTCTCCCACACTTAATCAAGTTACAAGATAAATTGATTCTATGTACATGTGCGTTATCCACTACTTTTATTTATACCACTCATGTATCGTTCGGTTTAAATTACAGTTTACTTTCTTCGGTCTGCTGGTCTGCGCCATTTTGGCAATGGTGAACGCTGCACCTGGACAAAATGCGCCTGAACCAATACCGGTTGTAGCAGCTGATGGCATCCCCATAGACGATGTGCTGGAAGGAGCAGAATCAAGAGGCTACGGCTACAATAACGGCGGCCATGGACACCACGACCACCATCACCATCACCACCACGGTCATTATGGACATGGACATTAGGGTCGATCACAAACAACAATGATGTCCAAATCAATATTGATGCTTTAATTTCCTTTTTTTTTCTCTTGCATTTGTGTATTTTTATAATTTGAAATTTGAATTAAACTGATTAGGTATTTTTGCAAAAGATGTTTGATTTATCATACTAATGTTAATTATCATCATACTATGTGAATCATTTTTTGTACGTCAGGATGTTTGAAACATCCAAACAAAGAAACTACTGGAAGGTATTTTAATGAAATTTGGTATACAGATGGGGTATGGGCTGACTTTTTATACCGATTAAAATATTGCTTCGACTGTATGTTTATTCCGTATTATGATCTATTTTCCAAATACCTGTATGATCTACCCATTTCTGAGATTTGCACTTTGCAACATAACCGATGTCTTTTTATTTATATTATTGAATAGTATACAAAAAGTTAAATTATATAGTGCACACAGCCACACATCAACATCATCGCATCATCTTTCCGCACATTTAACGTTCAGTTTATACTGGTTATGTAAAGCTCGATGTGTAGCCGTATGTACCTACATTCCAGTAGTTTATAAATTAAATATTCTTAAAGCAACTTCTGCTGGTCAGTTGAAAATACTAGTATAATTACGGTGTCATCCACGAGAGTGGTTCATATTACGCCGCTGCAGTAAAAATAAACACTGACCAAGTGCGTGTTGGACTCACGCACGAAAAGTTCCATAGCATTCATTCGAGCACAATAAACGACAATAAAATATATGTGAACTTTGTTTTGTGGGAAACGGAGACTCCTCTTAAATAGGTATTACATTTTGTAGTACCTATTTGTGTGGAGTCTTCTACATGGACACTGCTAACCAAAGGCCTCTTCGCACACGGAGAAGGTTTGACCATTAATCACCACGCTTGCTCAATGCGGGTTGACAATCTTAAAATTGTAATTAGAAATTATAGGTCCAGGTTTCACGGTTTCACCTCACGAGGTTTTCCTTCACCGTTTGTCAGAGGTATCTAAATAATCTTAGTACACACTCATATTGGTACTTTCTGTTGATAGGTTTTGAAACCCCACCCTCATGCATGAGAAGCGAGCGTCTTAAACCAACACGAATAGCTATAGCTATAGATCTTTGCTGTTATAGCGGTACAAAAAATCATCACTCCACTGTTTAGCTATTACAGTTCATAAGATATACATGTCCCTGGTGGCAGACAGACAGATGGATGGACAGTGGATTCGGGAGTCTAAATAATAGAATTCCAATTTTTTCCTTTAGGTATGGAACCCTAAAACCGCTGCAACAATCAGAATGTCGATAAACTCATTAGGACCGCATTCGCAAAAGTAGGATTTTCCACTATAAATTCTTAATGAACCGGAATGCTATGTAAAGGCAATTGAACCGGAGTATACGAGAAAATAAAAGTAAAATTGGTTGTGGACCTCACACATTTTCCTAAATAAACAAACATGTACTTGTAGCAAATAGATACAAAATACAAAAACATTTAGACATCATTTTGAACACTTCAATAACGAAGTCAGTATATTTATAACAAACGTAATTTGTTGGCCTTAGATGAAGTGTATAATTTTTTTAGGGCATATAAAAATGTATAACTATGATCAGTTAAATTACAAAATACCGGCCGGTATAAATTGAATCAGCAATGTAATCTTTCAGAAAAATAAAATAAATAATTTCATCCGATATTTTTTTTTAAATAACGGTCAGTTTCTTAATAACATAACATGATATAACATCACGCCTTTTATCCCCGAAGGGGTAGGCAGAGGTGTACATTATGCCACTGTACAATGTAACACCCACTTTTCACTATTTATGTTATGACTCCCATGTAATAGGGGGTGAGCCTATTGCCATATACCGGGCACAATTCCAAACTTCGTGCTACTACTGAGAATTTATGAAAACCCAGTAGTACTTTGCCTGACCCGGGAATCGAACCCGAGACCCCTTGAACGGCAGTCGCACTTGCGACCACTCGGCGAACGAGGCAGTTTCTTAATATTGTTAAAAAAATGTCACAAAGAAGGCCAAATTTAAGATTACACATTTTTAACAAAATTACAACAGTTAAAAAAATGTCACAAAGAAGGCCAAATTTAAGATTACACATTTTTAACAAAATTACAATAATGATAATTTTTCCATAGAGTAATTAAATTAATTAAATAGGTAAAATACACTTCGATCAAAAGTTGTGCGCAAAATGTGTGTACCTCTAAAATAATAATAAAATGTTTCTAGGAAACGCAAACCACAAAGCGACATAGAAAAATATACCATAACGTGTTACACGTGTGGAACATATTCCCATAAAATACACAATCAACACTTTTCATACACACATAATACATCGTTAAAACATGTCATTGATGAGCATGTAGATGCAAAAAAAAATTTTTTTTTTTCTCCACTGCAACATACTCTTTCACAACTCTGAACTAAGAACTATAAAGAAAATATGTATAACAGTTTTTGTAACAATTACTTAAGAATAACTAAATTATTTTATTCATTAGTGCGCATTAATTTGTTACTTCCTTATTGTCAGTAATTAAATCAATTGATAGGCGTAGACATGTATTATAACGCGTATTAGCACTTCATATAAAATATTAAATTACATTAGGTATTGTACTTACGTGATATTGTAGATATTATATTATGTATTGTATTAAATACATACTCAAAAAAACCTTTTTTTTGTAAACAATAATATTGATTTATTATGATATAGTCAATACGATAACTAACCAGTTTGGAAAGCGGTACCGTAAATTAATACCAAAAATATTATTATTATTGGACTTTTTTCCTTAACAGTGAAGGCTCTGAGAATATTGACCTTATAGAAACGCAACATATTTTTTGTTTTTACTGTTGCGGTATGTGTCACCGGTTCCGTATATAAGTTCCTCAACGATCCTAACACAACACTGTTCAGCTCTAAGCCGTTACAATGAAAGCCGTGAGTGTTTCTTTCTTTATAATAATTTTAATTTTAATAATATTTATTAAATATAATATTTACATAGTATTATCATGCTAAAAAAAAATTAGTTTTAATTAACAGTTTAATTTGTAAATCTGAAAAACACAACAATGGTTCTGAAAAATATACGTAATTAATTTAAAAACTTTTAAATTTCAGTTTGCATTCTTCGCTCTGTTGGTGTGCGCCATTTTGGCTCTGACGTCGGTGCAGGGTGCGCCAGCGCCTGATCTCGAGACCGCAGAAAGCCATCACGGTTATGGTCATAAATCACATGGACATGGTGGACACGGTGGACATGGCGGCCATGGAGGATACGGCCACGGATACGGCCATGGATACGGCCACGGAGGACACCACCATCACGGATAAATCAGACCAAATCAATTACATGACTGATATTAATTTAAAGTAAGGATTAATTTAAGACTAGTATAATAGTTAAAATAAATATTTTTAACTGCATTTTTGTTGTTTTATTACAATCATATGGCGTGCAGTTTGTTTACTCTAGATTGTTATCAATGCAAAAAATAATAATTATTGTTATCATTTCTTTTAATCAAAGCTGCAGATTTTGATAGTTACTCACAATCAAATCCAGCACAAAATGATTTTAATCATTCATAAGGTTGTGTGACAATTAGAAATATAAATTTTATAATTCTTTATGAAGAAGCACTATATGTATGATATTATTCTCACATATTAAATATTCACGAACACAATACAGTATTGAATTGTTTTGTAAACAGTGACGAAGGTATTGTTTTACTTTTGGTTTTCATATCAACTACAAGACGTCCACTGCTGAACGTAGGCCTCTCCCAATAACTACTAGATAGGGCGGTGACCTGCACCCAGCTGCTCCCTGCGGCTTTAATTAGGTCGTCTATCCACTTTGTAGGTAAACGACCTGCAGTGTGCTTGCCGCTACATGGCCTCCATTGGAGTCTTAGTTCGTTTCGACTTTGTACAAACAGCTTTTTTGTAAGTTGGACATAGTCTACTGATGTTTAAAACGTATCTCTTCATTGTGTTGTGTTGATAGCATTCCTGTAGCATTGCCATAGTGATTACTTAGTGTTGCTATAGTGGGAACGAAGCATCAAAAAGCGTAAAGGCTGGACTGCAGCTAAACCCGGAGAAATCAAATCTTCAATGTTGTCTATGAGAACATAATACTTACGTGGCACTACCGCATAGCGCATGCGTAGCGTTACCATAGTACTAACGTAGCACCGCCCTAAACGTGCGTAACATTACAATAGTACTAACGTTGCATTGTCGTAGCACGTGCGTAGCATTACCGTAGCGCAGCTGTAGTGCGGGCGTAGCATAACTATAGTACTTACGTGGCGCAGACGTAGTGCGTGCGTAGCGTAACTGTAGTACTGAGGTAGTGCAGTCTTAGTTCGTGCGTAGCACATGCGTAAATGGTTACCGTAGTTGTTAATCTTACTGAAGCACTTACGTAGCATTATAGTAGTACTTACGTAGCGTTGCCGTAGCACTTAAGTAGGGTTGGTATTGCGCTAAGTTGCATCCCCGCAACGATTGCATTAATTGTAAAAACGTTCATTATTAAATACAACTCATATTCCCAGAAGTTTGACCTTATTCCTAAAAACAAAAGATTTTTTTTTTAAATCGTTGCCTCTCACTTGGATTTTCTCCTGTATCGTGGATACGTTTACAAACATACAGGTTCACATACACATGACACCCACACCTTGAACAACGATCGGGATCACACAAAGAGTTGTTCCGTGCGGGAATCGAACCCGCGACAAGGCGCGGCAGCTAGTTGCCCAGCCACCGCTCCAACCGTGCAGTCAAATTCTATATATTCCTTAACAAAATAAAAAAAAATCAACAATACTAATTATTTAATTTATATAAGAGAGCAGATGATGTGACTTGGTAATTTTTCCATTCACGATATTTTCCTACGTTCTAAAAATCAGCAAGATGACTAATTCTTGGCGTTTTCAAAGTATTTAACGTTACTTTTATGTATTATGTTGTGGTTGCGGTTTTCTAGTCATATGTTTTGCACCCATTAAAAGTACCTGTTATTATTTTTTTAAATTTATATTCTTTAATTTAGAAATTATGACTTTTAACCAATTTATCATCCGCCATCCGCTACTGAATTCATCAGTGACTTCCATCACGATTTGTTTAAAATTGTACCAGTACAATTTCAAACGCCATCCGTGTGGAATCATGTATTCAAGTTCGATTTAACTACAGTAAAAATGACACCCACTTCACCATTTGGTATCCAGTGCTTACCTTTTTGAAGAATGAATCACTTTTACTAAGGCTAAATTAGCCATGGTCAGTATTAAGTCCAAAACGTAGTCAATGTTACATTTAAAAAAAAAGTCAATGTTACATGACACACTGACCTCTATTTATAACCTTTTTAGGTAATACTATAAATCGGCTCTTGGTCAGCAACTAATTCCATATCCTTATTGAAAATGAATAACAATATTTTTTCGTACCTAAATATTTTCCCTATCTCACGACAACGATGAAGATGTTTAGGTTGTAAATATTTTACCTCTAGTTTTAGTTTTATTTTTGTACATAATAGATCAATTGTTTTAGAATTCAATCGTTTCTCATCGTACTACCTAAGTGTAAATAAAGTGGTGACTCAATTTTTCTTCTACCTAAATACATATTTATTTCTATAATCATTAGAGATAATAATCAAAAAAATGGTAATATCGCCTAGTGACTCCCCCCGACTTGGATAATACAAGGAGTGTCAGACTCTTACTGACTAAAAACTACCCTGTTGCCTACTCAAGCTTCTTGAACCAACAACATCGGCTGCAACTCCGGTCTACTTTGCTGGGGTTCAGAAATTGTGATATTAAGTATATTTAAATTAATGTTCTATCCTTTAAATATGTATTTAATCTCGTCCGTCAAACGTAGTCAATGACGTGTTGACCGTTATGATCAACGACCAAGCCCAAGTTTTTGTTACCGCAATAAAAATATACATCGCTATCAAAATACCGTTAGAATTGCTATCTAACTTTATATAATAAGATCAAAATGCCGATAGGTATATCTTCATTATATTAAATTATTTATATTTTTAATAAACTACGTTTAATAAACCTCTTTCTTTTTCGAAGTCGGTAAATAATAAATTCAGTTTAAATACTAAAACCTGTTTCTAATTTTAAGTATAACACAGAAAGAAATTCTAATAGGA